GATGTTTACGGCAGCCGAGGTCAGAGCGGCGCCGGGCTGCGGACGCGGAGGACGCGGAGGACGCGGAGGACGCGCCCGAGGACCTGCTGTCGGGTCCTGAACTCGCGGGCCGTGGAGCGCGAGCAGTGAGTCTGTCCTGAGTGTGATTTTGAACATGGGCGGTGCTGTGAGTGCCGGTGAGGACAATGATGAACTGATCGATAATTTGAAAGAAGCACAGTATATCCAGACAGAACTGGTGGAACAGGCTTTCAGAGCTATTGATCGTGCAGATTATTATCTGGAGGAGTTTAAAGAAAATGCCTACAAAGACTTGGCATGGAAACATGGAAACATTCACCCTTCAGCCCCGTCCATCTACTCAGAGGTGATGGAGTCCCTGGATTTGCAGCCAGGGCTCTCGTTTCTGAACCTGGGCAGTGGCACTGGCTACCTCAGCTCCATGGTTGGCCTCATTTTAGGTCCTTTTGGTGTGAACCATGGGGTGGAGCTTCATTCTGATGTGATAGTGTGTGAAAAACAGAAACTGGACTTCTTCATCAGGACAAGCGATAGCTTTGACAAGTTTGACTTCTGTGAACCCTCTTTTGTTACTGGTAACTGCCTAGAGATTTCTCCAGATTGTTTTCAGTACGATCGAGTGTACTGTGGGGCTGGTGTGCAGAAGGAACATGAAGAGTACATGAAGAATCTGCTCAAAGTTGGAGGGATCCTTGTCATGCTTCTGGAAGAGAAGTTGACCAAGATAACACGCACAGGCCCTTCTGCTTGGGAAACCAAAAAGATCCTGGCTATTCCCTTTGCCCCTCTCATCCAGCCCTGCCACTCAGAGTCAGAAAAGTCCAGACTTGTCCAGCTACCACCATTCCTTGTGCGCAGTCTCCAGGACTTGGCCCGAATTGCCATCCGGGGTGCCATTAAGAAGATCGTTCATCAGGAAGCTTTGAGCAAAAGTGGAAATGGACTGAAGAACACCCCCAGGTTTAAACGAAGGAGGATCCGCCACCGTCAAATGGAAACAATAGTCTTTTTGGACAAAGAAGTTTTTGCCAGTCGTATTTCCAACCCCTCTGAGGACAACAGCTGTGAAGACTTGGAAGAGGAGCGGAGGGAAGAAGAGAAGACCTCAGCAGAATCCAAGCCAGACCCTCCGGTGAACTTCCTCCGGCAGAAAGTCCTGAGCCTTCCTCTGCCAGACCCCTTGAAATATTACTTGCTTTATTACAGAGAGAAATAAATCTCCCAACTGAGAAGGGGAAGTGAGGAAGAGCCAGTTTCAAGTCTGACTGTGCCCACTGTCTGCTACTGAGGGATCTCCTGGGAGCCGATGCCATGGGGAAGGAAACTGCTATACCTATCCACATTGTAATTTTCTTTTTCTGGTCTTTTTTTTT